CAGCAGGACTTGATATTCTGAGCCATAGGTCCTAAACTACCATATGAATACTGATACCAACTATTGATAATCACTTTAGAAGGATTTGCCTTGTAAGGCAAAATACATGCCCAAATTATTTAACTTTGGCAAAATATTTTGGGAAAGACCCTACATATAAGTAAGCTGCAAAACAACTTTTGCAGCCACAACAGGAAATAAACAGATGAAATTAAACTGCAGGATTATGTACCAAGACATTTTTTACTTGATAAATTGGTGTTTCAAAGTTCTTTAAGCAAGTCCAAGCTACAAATTCATTTTTTAAAGAAGTAAATGGAGTAAGAAAAAAAAATTAAACTCATGGCAGCAACCCTTTAAAGGAAGTGAGCTTAACTTGTCAGAGAATGTGTGTTGCTTGGGATGTCTAAGTCTCGCAATCAGACAAAAACATTTTCATCTTTGTTATATATACTAACACGGTGAAACGTCTAGGTTGGAACTACGGGACTTGGAAAAGAAATAAGATGTAAAAAATAAAGTATTTTTCCAATCTCTTTCCATGTTAACTCACTTCAATTCAATGCTAGAAAAAACAGCAGTGCAAATGCATAGGAGAAAATAAGTGTGCATGTGAGAGTGCGAGAAAGTGCAAGCAGCAGCAGCTACTTAAGGGATGGAGAAATGTACTTCTTAGCTACTTCAAATAGGAAGGGGGTGCTGCTGTTCAAAGTGCATGCCAGCTGTAATAATGTCCCTATTATGATCTTGCAGGAATACAAGTTAGCTAAATCACCTTAGTTTGACCATGAATGAAGTTGGAGCCAAGTTGTTACATTTCTGTTATTACAGATAATGCAGATGTAGCAGCCGCACACTGGCTTCCTTTGACATTGACACAATTGCTACATCCATCTATACTCACCCTCTATGGCTATGGTTTTCAACCTGCGGGTCTATGTCTAAGGGCTCCACAAAAGATGACTATGATCAATCAAAAGTACGCGAATACTCACACATATAATTCAAAGGGGTCTGGTACCTCCAATCAACATTTTGTAGGGGTCCACAAATGAAAAAAGGTTGAAAACCACTGGTCTATGGCATCAAGTATGTAAGAACATGAGAGGGTGAAGAATTATGGCCAGCTGACTAACCTGCATATGTTCAAGTGGACATTCTCCATCAGCACAAGAGATGGATATTGCTTTTGTGGGAGGAGCTGTGTTAGGATTTGAGCCTGTATTAAGAAGCTTGTGTAGCTTGAGATAGACTACTCCATCTCTTATCAGATTCTGAAAACTTAGAATATATTGCAATTTTCTGGAGGTCACAAGCATAAGAAAAAGCAATACTTTCCAACCTTGGCTGTGAATTTGACAGGTAATAAAACACTCCTGAATCAAATGTGAGAAAGCAACTTTCTCTCCCCCCTTAATTTCTGGCTGGTGTTAAAGCAGGATAAGTGTACAGAAGCTTCTTTACCCAAGATGAATGGAGAAACAAACCACTGTAGGAAGACATAGGGAGCAGCATTCATCATTAACTGGTTCAGATAAATGTCTAGGCAGGAATCCTTGGATACGAACCTAATTCTCCTCCTGTGCTCTTTTGACAGTTAGAAGAGAAACCAAGAGCAGGGTCCTCAAGCTTCCAGGACCTGTAAGTTATTTAACTATTGATCCAACTACCAGAGGGAAGTGGTGCACAACTGCTTTTCACTGGGTTCCTCTAACAGGAAAAGTAGTAAGAGGCATAATTTGTGTAGATATGTAACATCCAGGTCTCAGGATGGTGAACTGCATGGTAAATAAACTAAAACAACCCCATAAACTGAAGGAGAGCAGATTTAAATTGGACATCAGGAAAAAATTCTTTATAGTGAGGGTCACCAAAATCTGGAATGGGCTTCCAAGGGAGGTGGTGCTTTCCCCTACCTTGGAGGCATTTAAAGGGAGATTAGAAAGCACCTGGGGTTACCTGACCCCAGTGCTCCTTCCTGCCCAGAGCAGGGGGTCAGACTCGATGATCTAATAGGTCCTTTCTGACCCTAGACATCTATAAATCTCTAATTTGTGAGCACTTAGCTGGGAAGGCCTGTCCCGCTAGAAATCATAAAGCATGTGGTATCTCATATCTTATGGAGGCCACTCTAGCATGACAGTTATGCCCTGTTCAACTGAAGCAACTAAGGGTATCCTTTGTGGATACTGTCATCCTGTAATCAACATGAGAGAGGGAAAGGAGGGAGCAGGGGAGTCAACTTACCCTCAAAGGACAAGGACAGGTTAGACAGAGAGCTTCAACTGAGGGAATGACTGCCTGAGTAGCTAACAGCAGAAACCATTAATTGCATGAATATTTGATCAGAGCAGGAAACCCAACCTTGCTATCACAAACATTAAAAAAAAATACAGACTACATCCAACTCTGACTGGAACTGGGTTGACCCTCTGTTCCTAGGTGAAACAAGACTGCTGAAAAGAGACTAAGGGGTATTTTCCCTTTGACATATAGCACTTGGCCTCCAGAACTCCAGATATGCTGCTACATTTGGTGGCGAGAACAATTCTTAGGAGCCAGAGTTGGTTAAAGCAGCCATCACTTGTCCCTCACTGCCAACATACAGCCCCAGTGGGTCTCTAGAGCTCTGGTATCAGCAGCAGGCCCTGCACACACTCATGCTGCAGGCCAAGTGACATGGCTCCATGGGCCAGATCTAGCCTGCAGGCTGATGCTTGTCACCCCTGACATGGAAAATCATGCGTTTAAAGTAAAAGAGGAAGGATGGCTCAGTGGTTAGCGCACAGGTCTAGGATTTAAGACCTATATCCAAGTTTCTGCTCTGGCTTCCTGTAGGACTTTAGAGAAAGACTCAGTGACTTGTCCCCCTCAGCTCCTCATGTTTAACAAAACACAGGAATGTTGCAGAGATAAATATACCGAAGATTGGGAAGTGCTTAAATACTATAGTAATGGTGGCCATTTAGGTGTCACAGAAAGAGAGACAAAGTGTGGGATTTTAGTTGCTCATCTTTCTCAAGTCCTTACACAGTGAAGTCCAACATCTTAACAGATTCTATGTTTTATGGAAAAAGTAAATATTCTCTGACTTAAAACTGTTCCCTGCAACAACAGTATCATGTAAAAGGGAACATTTAAATGCCTGTATCATCCTTCAAAAAGACAAGTACGTAGTAAATTAATATGATGGAAGTGTTATTAAATTTAATATATTTATATGCATTCAATACCTGTATACAGGGTCACATAATAAATGCCAAAACGTATATGAAAAAAATTTTAAATTTGTTTTAGAGAAAAATGTATCTTTGTATAATCTAATCTTGTTTAAAATGATGAATCAGTGTTTTAACAAAATAGCACATTAGAAACTTCTTACACAGGCAATAAGCTGAGCTATATACAACTTGTACAAATGTAATATTTTTGGCAAGAAACTGACCACTAATCAATAAAGAAGTTCCGTTACAAAGATGACGGACTGAAAAAAAACTAGTATAAAGTATATGTAGGGATATCTGAAGCAGTGTCTACCTGGCCAACGTAGCATGTCACGAACGTTAGGAATAACATTGTTAGACCTGATTTTCCCAACCTGTTTTGTAATTTTTGTGCACTTGTGACTATTTTGACTTATTTTTGTTTGTTTGTTTTACAAACTGATGGGCAATATTTCCTTTTTTAAATCACTGTGTATGTGTGCTTATATTCTGTATGTACCATGCACCTACATTACACGTATATTATTTTAGTGAGAAAATAAAATCTTTCAAAGGATGTTATCATTTTTTTTAATATAAGGAGTTCCATATACATGATTTTTCACATATCTCCACATTTTACCCTCCCACTTTCACTTTTATTGGGCACTTTGCAGCATATATCCCCCAAAGAACTACTCAGGTCCTACAAGAAAATGAATAAGAACAGCATACCTACATAAACGCATAATCCCGTCACCTGACACTTCATTTATTTATAAATTTACAAAATGATAATAAGTTGTGCTATATGTAATCATGAGGATTCCCTTTAATTTAATGTTCTAGTGCTACCAGGAATACAGATTTTGTTTAGGGAATTAACACCTCACACCTATCAAAAACTCTGTAAAGCTCTCTGCTGGAATGAACGGTAGCAATGGATAACCTTAACCAATGTTAGCAAATCAGTGAGGTAAGAATCTTAATTCCAGGACGATTCTCCTTTACTTTTTTATACCAGTGTATTATACAAATTATCTTCCCTTGGAAGATATCCTAAAAGCTCCCTTTCTTTTTCACCATTTCCTTTCCTGTGTTCAAAGCTCCATATTATAGCAGTCCTCCTCCTACAGGCATCCAATGTTGGTTTCTTTTAGAGCATGGAAGGAAAGCAATGGAAATGCCCCTTTTCCTATGTTGAATGGGTTAAAAATACTGACTTCACAACACCTCCAGATCTTGCTGGCCTGAGATCAAGGCAATTTCTTTTTCCTAATCTGCCCACCATACCTCTTCCTTGGATCCCAGCTTGGCCATTAATGCTCATCAAATCTGATGTCTGGAGAAACTAAGGAGGATTCCAATTCATCTACAATGAAAGCCTTTTGCATTTCCTCTATTTTAACACATTGTTGACATGGTTCTGTTCCTAGATCTTATCTACACTTTGAATGCAAACCCTATTTTTTCAAGGGCTTATGATTCTATTAAATTATTAGGCCAAAAGCTGTTAAAACAAAATGAGATTTTTCTTACATTATTCTGATAAGCAATGAAA